TTAAATCTTAATTTGCAGTTAATATTGAAGAAGAACTTTTAAATGAGTTTGCCGACACGGCATATTTTTTTGTTATGTCATTTTATTTGTAGGATTCATTGTGGTTATTTTTTTTTTTCATTTTTCATGCGATTTTTGTCATAAAAACTGTATAGTGTATGTTTTTTGATACATAAATGTATACATATTGTATATTATTTTGATAATTTATAGAAACTTGTAAATTAAAAAAAGAAAATGAAATAATGTACCGATTCTGAAAGCTCCTGGCACCCCAGGTGAAGCATATGCCGAGCTACTGCAGAAGTTTTTCCGCAGATATTGTATGTTAATGAGCTACACGTAAAGTTTTGACTCATTCCTAGGCGAATGCATGTACAATTATTCACACAAGGTTCTTATACACAGGGGCTTATATCTGTCATACAAATTTATGAATGAATTTGTGATAAGACATATTTATTTTTAATTTCAAAACAGCTATTTTTTAAAAGGTTAAACATACCAGTGACTCTTGTTTCAACTCGTCGAAAATGACTTGCTTTTCCAGAAAATAAACGACACTTGAATATTTCAAAATTTGGATATCTGTAAATCATTATCATTATGATCCAATGATACCTAAACCAAAACAGGGACTGCATTTCGTTGTCATATGACTCTGCTCCCCAGAGGACTGCAATTGACCAGCACGGTTCATTGGACCACCCACGTGGTTGTACATGATTGCTGGCGATGTAAAATGATGTATATCCTCTGGAGGAGTGATATTGACAAAAATGGGTCGTTAATCACAAACACCTGACAAGCTAGCAGTCCTGATAGGTAAAATACACGTCAAATTCAAGAAGAATCCTATAAGTTTGATTTAAAAACAAATAAATTGTATTCAATTTGATTTTGCATACATACATATCCCACTCTATATTAAATAAAATTACCTGGAGATGAACTGATGTCATTGGGTCAGAAGGAGTATATGTCGTCCTACCAATAAGAATATTTGAGCGAGGGAAGTCTTCTACGGTTACAGCTACAGCGTAAATGCCATTTACTGTGTGGTTCGATGAAAAGGTTATCCTACATGTTTTCAGACTTTAGAGCCACAATAGAGTGGGTTAATAATGCTAAATCAATTTAATGTAAATTTTATTTATATAAATTCAGTTATGAAATATTTCTTTGTATAAATTTAACTTTAAACTTGCAAATTTCAGTGTCAATGTCAGTGATGTTTATTCAGTCTTGTTTTTGTTCTTGTTTTGTAGCCTTTTATCGTTATATCATCTTAAGGACATACGCAACGTAGTTTGAACTTTATTGTCTTTTTCCCTTGAGTTAAAGAGTTCCAATACTTAAAGGAATTGTGTGCTACATTTGTATGTCTATATATGCCGTTGTACACTTCTTCTAAAACAAGTTTGGATAAACAAAACATCTAGAATATGTGCTTAGTAATTTTTGTGTATTTTTATACAAGAATTTTCATCAATTGATATCTTTCCAAAACCTCTGGTAATGCATGCTGATTTTTTGTTGACGAATATCTGATGGCTCTATAATCTTAAATTAAGAATATTTTGAAAAATTATCAGTAGGTAAGGTACGTTGCATATGTCCTTAATGTCATCTGAAATAAAATTTTGAAATGATGATTTCAGAATTTAAGTAGCATACTCAACTCAGTATCTATTCCTCATACAAAGTAAACTTCTTTTAGTCTATGTACTCAGTCTTTATTATTATATTTCATTATGTAATACATGTACCTTTATACTCAAATTGTCGTGTAAAGATACAGATATTTTTTTCTACTTGCTCAAATTCTTAATTTGTTTTACCTGTTTAACGTTGGATGAGGAAAATAAACTATGCATTTTAAATTCTAGTATATCTAAAGACCTTACTTAATGGAGTTCCTTTTTATTATCCTCGACAACTGTGGTACTTCACAAAAATAATCATTTGCTTGAGTGTTTAATAAAATAAATTTTAAGATTGCACTTGATGTCACGATAAGTTGTCATACTTTTGATTTTATAAGGCAGTTTTTTACAGATCAACACCTTTTTGTATTTCAACGTGTTAAAAAATTCTTTGCTTCCTGAATGCATTAAAGTCGTGAGTAAGTTTCTAAATAAGTCATCGAATGAAATAAACGTTCTGTAACCTGATTGAAACTATCTGCCTCATTTTCAGTCATCACTATCCACAGATTTAGATTAATGACTTCTGAAAAGGTAATTGTAGTTAAAGAAATATAAAAAATGAAAACAAGCAATATTTTTTATTATAGTCCTATATCCAGTTCACAAAAATACATCCTTATAAACTCTTTGAGTAGATGATGCACAGCATTTATACATATTGAAAAAATGATAAAGAAAAAATTCAATTTTTTGTTAAAATTGTGGAGCCTCAAGCGCGAGTGTGAAATAGATTTAAAAATAAATTGAATCGCCATTGTTCAAATTATATTACTTCTGTTTACACTTTATAGTATCAAACAAGTCAAGTCAATTTGGCAAATATCATTAGCAATTTAAAAACATGGACCATTTTTAGTGGTGTTACACACAATTATTTTATGTTTTGCTGTAGTTTTAATATGAAAATTTTCATTTAGATGCTGGTAGGCCTCCGCACATTTTGTTGCTGTAAGGTTAAACACTGCAAATTACAGCATTTGAAAAAATGTACCGAAAGGTTAGAGAAAGGTCTAACCCCCCCCCCCTCCCCCCCGAAATAGGATTTTCAAGTTTGAGACGTTCTTTTATGCTTGTTAAATTTTTTTTGAGCCCCCTCCTTTGAAATCGTTACTACGGGCCTGGCTTTTTCATGAAGTTGCACTTGTGTGAAAAAAATAACAAATAGTTTAATCTCCTTTGATCTAATTTTTTTTTATACCTCCTTTCCGAGATTTTTAAACGGTCACAGTAAGCAATATTAACATCAAGCGGTTGCTACTGGTCACGGAAGCCTAGTGGTAGGGCGCTCGATCCGTGATCGGGAGGCCCGCATAAGATTCTCGTTCGCCGCGTCGCGTCAAACCTAAGACGTAAACATGTGACTGTTCCTTCGCCAAGCGACTGACACTAGAAGAGAAAGTCACGGCTTTCGTATAAGGTCTCGTGTCGATGAAGAACCCTCACTGCTAAATAACCGTAAGTGCCGTGTGTAGATCTTTTATAGCTCTTTACCAGCATACGGTAAAAATGTTGATGTACATTCTTAACGTACCTTGAAATTTTTTTCAAAGTGCTTTGATTTTGTCCCAAATTTAACGCACTTTGATTTTTTTTCAAAGTGCGTTGATTTTGTTGATTTTGTTCCAGTTTGAAAGCACTTTGAATTTTTTTTTCTTTTAAAAATATTTTTCTTTGAGATTGATTGTTTCATTGATTGTATTTTGTTTTAAGTCCCGTTCGAGAATTTTTCACTCATATAGAGACGTCACCATATACCGGTGAAGGGCTTCAAATTTAGACCTTTACTCGGCACTCAGGGTCATTGAGCAGTGAGGGTTCTTTATCGTGCCAACCTACCGTGACCTAGGTGTTTAAGATCTCATCAGAAAGACCCGCAACTTTCACTTCAAAGTGCCGAGCAGGTTGCTACCTATTTTTTTTTTATCGACTTAGGTCAGTCGCCGCCGTGATTCGCGCTACCGACTGAGCTACCGTGACGGTGCATTCGTTGGAAAACTTACCTGAGGTTCCTACGCAAACGAAAGCTCGAAATCTCTGTATAGGAACTGTTGCGACTGCCGAGAATTTCTTATTATTCCTTAGTCATAGAAATTACAATATAATCCGGCAATTATAAACTTAATATCCTTGAATATACAGACATTTTCAAGATAAACTTCATTTTTGTTTCTAAAAATGTTTTTATTTACACAAATAAAATAAGTATTTTCGTGTTTTTAAACTGAGTAAATTGATGGCATAGCATTGTCATAGGTAACTCGAGCCCCTCTAAGGGTTGTTTAATAAACCCGGTAATGTATTATGCATGTACATGAAAAAAAAACACCTCTTTTTCAATTTATTAATTAACGACAAAGCGTCCATTTTTCTTTTGTATTTTTATCTTTAGCAAAAATTCTATAGTTTTCAAAGTTATTATGATTTCCTGCAAGATACAATGTTCACATAATATGTAACATTTTGTATACGAAGTGGCCTATTATTAGTAGTATCCACTTTGCATGACAGATAAATTAAAAAGTCGTTCTAATTAGCATAGTGAAATGATGTTCCATACTATTCTTTTAATAATTTAGAATTCAAAATCTTTATTTAGGATTTTTAAAATTCCATAAATTACAGTAGTACGTGTATTAAAGCATTCATAATCTTTATATGTTTTAAAAATTATTGGTGTTGTAAAGTTATTATTTTTTTCGCCATCGAGTTGTTTTAGAATATACGTTTAATAATTAGGATTTTTGCGGTCTTCTCCATTTTTCCTTAAATACCCCCCCCCCCCCGGGGAAAAAAATATAACTTCATTTTTCATTAAAAGTTAAAAAAATTAAATTCATGCGCATCAATATTAACTCATCAGAAAGATGCAACAAAGATTAATCTTCGTAATTAACAAGTTTATCCCCCCCCCCCCAAAAAAAAGAAAAAAAGAACAAACAAAAATCAAGTTTTATTTTCAATATCTGATACATTTATGCCCATTTACTAGTATCAATGATAGTAATGAGCATTTCTACAAATAAAAGTACTCAGAGTTTTTTAATGCAACAACAAAACAATAACAAAACAATCTTATCCTATGATGTCAAATACTGCCGTTCTATTCTTACGTCTCATTTAGAGTTTTTCGATCTAAAACTAAACAGGTTCCAAACTGGATTAGGTTGTTTCAAATTTTGGAATGACTGTGGCTGGTACCTGCAGGAAACGACATAATAAATAAAACTTTTAAAATGTCAAAAACTTTGAAGAATGTTCCTAACTCTTGAATATTTGAAAAGAAATACTTACACAAGTTTTGGGTGAGAGTCAGGTTTTCGAACATCTAAGTAGTTGGATAGCCTGAAATAAAAACAAATAAACTAATCTTAACCTACAGCACTCAAAGTGCACTTTTGGTAAGCAAAAGGGCAAATATAGTACTAGAGAGAGAGAGAGAGAGAGAGAGAGAGAGAGAGAGAGATTTACCAGGAATGGTCTACTTCCTTGTATTTCTTCTTGTTTTTGTAGATAATGAATGCAGTGATTCCGATAGTAAGTGCTAGTGCTGTTACTATTGCGGCCAATTTGAATTCGTTGAGTTTACAAACCCGATTATTTAGCCCATCAAAGCAATCAAAGAGGAATGTACATGGATCTATTTCACACTCGTCAATATCTGTAAAAGTAAATGTTAATATATTTTTGCACTTCAGTATACATGAAAAAGAATTAGCTGATTGGGAAATAATGTTGGACATAGGAAACAAATGTCAGAGAAATTGTACACTGCAGTAAATACAATTAACTCAAGTTTTTGTTGACCACTCAAATATATACAAATATAATACTGTGGTCAACAGTTATCTCATGTAAACATTTCTATGGTCCTGTCACTCTAACATGTACTATTATTATACCTCTACTGATTTTTCACTAAATAAGGATACTGCAATATATTTTGCTGATTCGCTGAAAATTGCTGTAAAAAGATCGATTCCCTGCAAAAAGGTGCGTCATGTTTGATAAAATGATACAACCCTATTCAAAACATCTTGCTTTTATTATAAGAGAAGCTACGATATGTTCGAAATAAAATCTTCAATATTCATAACGCTGCTCACATATAAGGAGGCGGGGCTTATGAACAGAATATTCATTTATTCTAAAGACCATTAATTAAAATATATTTACATTTTCAAATATTTTTCCTTAAGATTCTTTGCAAATTAGAAAAAGATTCATGTTCTCATGAACTACCGTGGGATGAGTAAGAATATTTCCTTTGTGATGTGACTGAAGTCAAAAAATAGTGCAAACTTTTTTTTTCGAAATTGATCGTTGAATGACAAAAATATGTGGCAAGCCATCATAAAAATACATGTACTGTAAATATAAATTATGAATTTAATTTTTGAGAACTCATGAGATACATAAACTACAACGCTTTACGCCTGCATATTTGCTTGCGTGAAGCGTCGTATAGTTCATGTCCTCAAGAATTCTCAAATTTTTTTTTACCGTAAATCAATCTCTTAAGCAGTGCCTTTCCACTGAATTTATTCATTTATTATCTCCCGGTATTTCCCGACTAAGTGGAAAACCACCTCTCTCAAAAATCAATAAGCTGTCTTATTCGTACGTTTAAGCCTGTAGTATAATCTAAACCGAGTATCCTCCGCATCCATTTGTATTATTCAGGTCTTTTCAGAGTGTATAGAGGATAAATAGCCAAGGATTATCAACTCCTTGACCAGAGAGGTTTCCTCAGTACTATAATACATCAGTTGCTACACACATTAATAAAATTAAATGAATAATTTGTAGTGTTTAACAAATTTGAAAGGAACGCATGTCGAAACTGAATCGTAACACCTCTTTCGATTCAATGAAAATGTGTTCACCTATTTCGATTCAGTAAATATGTGTTTACTCACGATATACATTTTCTTATACGAAATGCATAAATAATTTGTCATAGATATTTAATACCTTGTTAAAGTTTTCTTAACAGCATGTAACATCACATTAAAATGAAAGAATTTCCGTGTTTGAATATCTCTTTCAGTAAAAGCAGTCCAAATTAAAAAAAATAATATTGTCCGGAGATAAACATTCCAAAAACTAAACAGTTGTAGCCGATCTATGATACCTGTCTGACATATCCTGTCGGTGTACCCAGGAATACAGCTACACGTGATGTTTTGAGTCACTCCTTGTCGGATACACGTCCCATTATTCAGGCAGGGTTCATATACACAGGGGCTTATATCTGTATCATATAGACATAACATATGGATGAGTTTAAGGTAAGGCATACTTATTTCTATACTCAAACAATCATTTTCCCAAAAGGTAACACTTACCACCGTAAACTCTTATTTCAACACACCGAGAATCGCTCGCTTTTCTATATACAAAAAAAAATAATAAAAATAAAAATAAAAATTATATATAAAAAAAGATTTTAAAAACTTGGATATTTTTAAAATGAAGACCTGTGAATTATAATGCAATAAACCAATGGGGAAACAGTTACGAAAGAGACTGTCTTTTTTATCAGCTGTTTCGTAAATTTACCCATTATTATCTTCTGCCAGGGCACATAGAATATGTGAACCGATCTGTAGTGTTGTTGGTGTCCATGTTGTGTTGATAAAGACAACTCCAGGTCGTCCTGGGTATGGCAAGGGAGAAGTATACGTCATACCAGCTGGTGACGTAACATCAACTCTTGTTATTCTATAGAAACATAAAAATGATTCTAAAAAATACTCTTAATGATGTTCAGTTCAAAATATTAATGTAAAATCGAAGTTATATTGAACATAAAAGAATCGAACGATGTTAAAAAGAATGTACGTTTGATTGCTAGCGACGTAAAAGGAGATGTGTAATGTTTGATCCGCCATAATGCTGAAAATGGCGCCCTCTGGGGGAGTGTTATTGACGAAAATGGGTCTTTCATCGCAACCACCAGACAGACTGGGAGTCCTGACAAGAAACTGAAAAATACACATTAAGTAGCCACTGCTTTGCCTTTTTCTTTGAAAAAAAAAGAACATCATTCGATTTAACGGGCTAGTACTTATCCTACATGTATTTATACTGAAAAGAAAGAGAAAGTCATACATAAATATACAATGTTAGCATTTTCTATTATTAAACTTTCATTAAACTATAATAACCCGTCTGGGATATAATGTCCCAAATGGGATATAAATTTACGGTGCTAAAAATTGAAAAAAACTTATTTTGGCTATACCCCTAAATATCATAAATCCGCATCAAAATACTTTCAGAGGAATAACTTTTGGCAAGCAAGTTTTTCTGCAACCCTACGGGTTGTTAGATTGATTGATTGATTGTATGTTGTTTAACGTCCCTCTCGAGAATTTTCCACTCATATGGAGACGCCACCACTTGCCGGTGGAGAACTGCAAATTTTGACATATACCCAGCACTTAGGGTCATTGAGCAGTGAGGGATCCTTTTTGTGCCAGCATCTACTGCGACACGGGACCTTGGCTAATACGGTCTCATCCGAAGGACCGGTCTCCACGTCCCACAATGGGATTTGAACCGGCTCCTTAACTCCTTACTCCGTGACTCTAGAGCAGACGCTCCACAACTGCGCCACGCGGGCTTGGTTGTAAACAACAAACGACAGGCGAAAAATGCTTCGCATGCGCGGATCTGGGGGGGGAGGGTCGGAGAATACGGACCCCCCTGGAATTGCAGAGTTATTAAAAGTATATACTGAAGCAAATAAAAAATGACTTTGAACCCCCCCCCCCCCCCCGAAAACGTGGACCCCACCATCGCCACCACAAAATAGGTGCTTTTCACGTTTGGGAAATGGAATTTCTTTCTTTTTTCCTTTTTTTTTGTTGCTTGTCAACAAATTTTGTGGGTTTAATACGTTAGGGAATGGAATTTAGGGTTTTTTTTGCTTGTCAAAAAATTTTGGGTTTGAAATTCTTTTTTACTGAGTTGGACCCCCCTACTCCGTGAAAAAAATCCTGGATCCGTGCCTGTTCCGAGTGCAGAGATAGCGAAACTTAAGATGATAATGGACTCTCTGAGTATCATATACAAAGAGGTCGGTAAATCTTTTTAAATGATAAAGACTCTCTGAGTATCATATACAAAGAGGTCGGTAAATCTTTTTCGAAGCTTTCTTATTTAGAAAAAAAAGAAGTGGGGAGTTTGAAAGTTTTTTAAAACGTGAATTAAACGACGATCTCCGAATTTTTTGTTGAAATCTTAAATCAAAAAGACATTCAGTATAATGAAATAAATAGTGCTTGTTTTTTAGGGTAATTGTTGAAATTGACAATCCTCGGAAAACCGTCGGTTGACAATGGCTTTCCTTGGGGTGTCAATTTCAACTGTTACCCTAAAAAACAAGCACTATTTATTTATCCTATTTATCTATCCTAAAAGTATGCACTATTTATATACTATACGACACAATGATAGCCAAATACAATTTTACGTAATATTTCTTTCATAATTGTCATTAATCAAGGCATACTATTAAATCAAACGATATCTAAGCACCGCAACTATTGACTTTAGGGAGTAGGGGTCAGAATTTTAAAATTCAAAATTTCAAAATCAGTATCACATGTGTCCTCATCCTGCATTCACAGCAACTGGTATCATTTTGAGCATAAAATTAATCCGATGGTTGATTCTTCGAATAGGAATGAGATTTCACTCCTCCAGAGGAACTTGACTCATCTCATTGGTGGCATTGAAAGATATGGAAGTCAAATTCATCGATCCATTACGTCTAACCGTCACGGTAGCTCAGTCGGTAAGGCGCTCGCTCCCTGATTGGAAGGTCGTGTGTTCGAAACACTGACCTAAGTCGATAAAAAAAATAGGTAGCAACTGTTCCTTCGCCAAGCGCTCGGCACTTTGAAGTGAAAGTTGCGGGTCCTTCGGATGAGACCTTAAAATCCGAGACCCCATGTCACGGTAGGCGTTGGCAAGATAAAGAACCCTCATTGCTCAACCCTGAGTGCCGAGTAAAGGTCTAAATTTGAAGCCCTTCATCGGTATATGGTGACGTCTCTATATGAGTGAAAAATTCTAAAACGGGACGTAAAACATACAAACAATCAATCCATTTCGTCTAATAATTGCCCAACTAAAGACAATGCAGTCATACCTGAACGAAGAACAAATTCGATGTCGATATCGACAAGATTATGTCGATATCGTATCGATCCTGATCAGTACTATATTAATTGGAAATACTTGATACTATATATGAGACTTGATGCTACGTCGATGTCGTCAATATCGACAATACCTTGACGATATCGTATCGATCCTATTTGTACAATTCATTTTCAAAATGAGGTATAACATAATTTTACTAGGCCACAAGCAATGTCGATATTGATTCATTATTGGCATGAATATGGAAATAAATAGGATGACAAACAAAGGGTAAGGGGTTGGGCAATCTTTAAAAATTGTTTGGTTGCCCTCTCCCGACCGACTGGCTAAAAGTGGCCCGACTCAAAACCTTTTCTAACCTCCAGGAAACAATTAAATTTTTTAATGCATTCCGGAAAATAGATTTTGAAAATTCAGCATTGATTTTGAAATTGTCTTTGAAAAAAAAACTCACCTACCTACCGACTCAATTTTCTCATCTTGAGTCGGGAGAGGGCAAGCAAACAATATTAAAAGTCGGCCTTGTTATCGTCTTGGGTTAGGTTAAGAGTAAGGCGCAGGGTTAGGGTGAAAGTTGGTAAATATGTTTTTTAACAATCATGATTCGATATTGATACGATATCGTTGATATCTGCGATAGGTAGTATCAATTTATTAATCAGAAAGTACATATGCAGAAGTATTGCATTAAGAAATACAGAAGATATTGTCGGGATAGTTAAAAGTAATGTTTTGTGTTAGAGTGAAAGTTGGTAAAGCATTATGTTTTTAACAAACATGACTCGATATCGATACGATATCGTCGATATCGATGGTAAGCACAATCTTCGTAATGGTAAAGTATTTAAACATAGACGCACATACACAGTAACAGGGACGGTACTTACCAAGGGTTGAGCAAACATGATTCGATATCTAAGCGATATCACCCATATCGACGATATCGACACTACAGGGGAACCTTTATAAATGATAGTTTTCAAGTAACTCACATGTTAAAAAACACAATATGAAGGGTGGAAACCATTATCATTTGAACAATCATTCGATATCGGTATAACCTAGCAATATGCGTTCTTTTCATGTGGAACGTGGTTGTGAAAGAATGGCCTCCGTGCTTTGAGGCTCGTATCTTCAAGACTATTGTTTACTATTTTCTCTATTATTCTGTCACGTGGCGTCCAGGAATGTTACTGGCCGTTTTATTTGCATATTGAAACCTGTTCTGTCTGATTAAACGGATTTCTTTGACCGGAAGTCCCTTTGCCTCCCGAAGACGCCCGCTCCTTGGAGGTCTTTAACGCTTCCTGCTTACATGAATCTTTGTTCTAGACGCGATATAATGTTACAATTTCATTCTGATGGCATCCTTGCATTAGTTAGTCAATAACCAGATCTGTTAGAATTTCAGAAAAGCGTAAGATCTTGTAGGGTCAAAATAAATTTGGTCAAATTCTTACCGGACAATTTCAAAATAATCACTGGAGACTGCAAAAAAAAGAAAAAAAAATAGTACAACTTACTACATAGTTTCCAACCCCAAGCTCGTTGGTAAATTACTTGTGCTCACATCGAGCACGCCAGTGTCATGGTTGAGAGGTTTTCTATCGCATATCCATTCTACACATTATTTAAAGCCCAAATAAATTCAAAAGTTTTTTAACTATATTACACATAAACAGACGCAATTGTACTAGATAAATAAAAAATATGCGCTAGTTTATCGTTTGAGTATATTTACCTGGAGATGAACTGATGTCATTGGGTCAGAAGGAGTATATGTCGTTCCACCAATAAGAATATTTGAGCGGGGAAAGTCTTCTACAGTTACAGCTACAGCGTATATGCCATTCATGGTGTGATTTGATGGAAAGGTTATCGTACATGTCTCCTATGCAAAAGTTATATTCATAATCATCAAAGTCAAGTAACTTTTTAGGGGGGTTATTTTTGGAATGACTCTAATTCTTGGCCAAATTATTCGAGTATAACCTGGTTTGGGTCAGTTTACGCTTTATAATCCGCGAAGCGGATTATAAAACAGCGTAAACTGACCCAAACCAGGTTATACTCGAATAATTTGGCCAAGAATTAGAGTCATTCCTTATAATTTAATTTTAAAATCATTAAATAACTATGGGTGTAAAATTTCGTTACTTTTTATTAGTTCAAATTTGCCGCTCAATAATACAACCATAGTAACGGAAGTAACGGAAGTGATGGGAATCGAGGGGAGGTAAAAACTGATACATAGGCATAGCAGCCATGTTGTTTGGTTACATGTGGTAAGATCGAATTATTGTTTGAAATTAAAGGTACATTTATTAAATCTGGAATTTTCCATGAATCCCGAGGACTGGAAATGAGAGGATTGTATGGATACAGATGATTCAGCTGGTTGTTAGGGGGGTGTGTCCCCATACCAAACCAGGTTATACAGAAATAATTTGTGTTCCTTTTTGGATATTAACCAATCAGAGGCTAGTATACAAACAAAATTAAATTATTTCCTTATAAAAGTTTTAACATACGATGACAAAATGTTATGATCTAAGGTCAATTTTAAATGATTTTGTTTCTAAAAAAAATATTGATTTACACTATCTAGGCTGGCATATGGGAGAGCAGAACAGACAGAGACACACTCTGACCCCGTGGACCAACGGCATCTTAATATATCACCATCAACATCTGCGACAGGAATTTGTAAAGCTAGTCGACAACCATACTGTACTCTGAAAAGAAAGATCGACAACCAGTTAAACTAGATATACTTGTATAATACAGCTCTGAACATTTTAGTGTATTGACGGTCTTTGTGGGAAAAAAAAATGAACGTTGTAGAAGAAATTTTGTAGACATTATTGCGAAAGATTTTTAGGATATTTTAGCGGAATTCCAAGTAGGTCATGGACATTTTAGTGGAAAAGTTAAGTCAAATAATACATAAACCCTATTAGGTCTGGAGAAGAATATAAAATTTTTATAGAATTTTTTGTCATTTATCAGAACGATAGCTTAAAAGAACAAATAATAGGCATCAATCAAGCTAACAAAATCGAAATAGATATTAACATTATGATAGGAAAATTACAACCTTGACATATAAATTGTAACTTAAAAAATATTTTGAGTTTTTTAATTAATGATATGTGCATGTAGTTTGCAATTATCTTACTCAACGACGAAGGGGCCTTCTCCTGGAAATGTATATTCAAAACTTCTCTCCCCTTGTTCCCAGTCCTCAGCTACACTGGCTCCTGTACATATGTAATTCACTGAACTCAGAGGTTCCGAGGTCGAATTACAACCAGACGTGCATCTCCAGTAGATACCAGTCATCCCCGTAACCAGGGAACCTATCAGCGCTGGAGTGCAACCAGGTCCTTGGCCGTATCGCCATCCCAGCTTAAATGAGAACTGGACCTGCAAAGTTTTCGGGGAAATCTTTAATTCACAAGAATGAAGTGTCTTCTTAACTATTATGATCTTTAAATAGTACTCAAATGCATGTTATAAATTACGCTTCAGTCAACATTTTTATATAAGGCATGCACTCTGTAGCTATTCATTACAACGTCATGTTCTTCTCAAGCGTATTTTGTGATGGAAATATAAATGCCATAAATTTAAAATTACTCAAAATTGAAAATAAGACAGCAAATTTAGTTTTATTTTAAAGACAAATATAATAAGACCATTAAAATGAGAATGGCTCTTAGATCCTTCACCGCTAGTCACGGGTTTTTTTTGTGTACATCCCAGAAGTGACACGAAAACCCGTGGCTTGTGACGATGTCTGAGAGCATTTATGAAGATTTCAGGGCAAAAAAAAAAAATCATTGAAACAAAAAAGTTACCCCATAACCGATTCCAGTGGGTTGCCAACTTATTGTTCCTCCCCTAAAATGACTTGCTTCTGAGACTAATACAATTACAAAGTACAAGAGAATTTGGATTCCAATTTTCATCTTCATTTTCATTCTTTTCAAACAGAAAGCATGTTTTATATAGAGATGCCATTTAGAAGGGAACCAATAAGATAATTGTTTGCAAATCTACTTCCTTATGATGTATGTAATATATGCAAAATGGAAAATCTCCAAAATATATAAAAATGTCATCAAAAACTTCAACGAGGTCAAAAAGGTTATAAACTTAATTCTCCTTTGGTCAAATTAGGTACAGTGTTCAATTTATGAGTACCACAGTCATGTAACTTTTACTGCATTCTCAGGGAAGTTCTCATTAAATTGTTTAAACTTTAATCCAGGTAAAGGGCCATCTTAAGATTAGAAAGTCCAATAATAGACTTTTGTTACATATAATAAATTAAAATGTGTATAATTTGTCCATTACATTCATCTTTGTTAAACACGATTATATCGTAATAAGACTTCAAAAAAATAGGGGAAACAGATGTCTGTCCATCCAATTTGACCTGTAAAATCTAATTCTCTTTCATATTTGTCATTCAGATATTTACTCGTACGCGTGTTAAAAATCGTTTTTGAAAGTGGGCAGCTAGAAAAAAAAAATTACAACTTACCTGAAAAATTTGACCAAAAAAGTAAATTGTCCAAAATCCAAAATCCTATTTCGTGTGTGTGCATGCGTGTGTTGAGGGAGAGCTTTTTAAGGAACATTTTCAACAGTAAAAAGTTATGTTTTGAAAAAAGTTGGGGCAACAAACACAACCCAGCAGGGTACCCACCCTCCCCCTTGCAATTTTTGGCTTCTTACTGATCACATATGAGTCTATTTGTTCAATATTTTCAAAACATAACAGCATTATGTTTTAAGATAAATGATGCAGAGTATTAATGAATACGTGATTTTTTTTTGTAAAAACGATCTTCGTATATTTTCTTTTTCACTATCAATTGATTGGGTGAACAACTTTATTATGTATTATTTTTATCATTAATTAAAATTAAAAATTAATTTAAAAAAAAATAATGGTCTAACAATTTGTATAAAAAAACTTAAGTCAGTATTCGACTTGATGATAGATTGTGTTTGTTGACAATGTCATTGTATCAACCATAGAATTTGCGAAATGTTGACTTTTAAGGAGACTGTTGGTATTTATAAATAATTTAATTTTGTTTGTATTCTAGCCTCTGATTGGTATATATCCAAAAAGGAACACAAATTATTTCTGTATAACCTGGTTTGGTATGGGGACAACCCCCCCCCCCCCCCCCGGCAACCAGCTGAATCATCTGTATGCATACAATCCTCTCAATTCCAGTCCTTGGGATTCATGGAAAATTCCAGATTTAATAAATGTACCTTTAACTTCAAACAATAATTCGATCTTACCACATGTGAACAAGCTGCTAGGCCTATGTATAAGTTTTTACCTCCCCTCGCTTCCAAAAACTTCCGTTACTTCCGTTACTAAGATTGTATTATTGAGCGGCAAATTTGAACTAATAAAAAGTAACGAAATTTTACACCCATATTTATTTAATGATTTTAAAATTAAATTATAAGGAATGACTCTAATTCTTGGCCAAATTATTCGAGTATAACCTGGTTTGGGTCAGTTTACGCTTCGCGGATTATAAAGTATAAAGTATAAACTGACCCAAACCAGGTTATACTCTAATAATTTGGCCAAGAATTAGAGTCATTCCTAAATTATAATTATTTATAATTGTTTATCAACCATTTTTGGATGGTTTAAAGGAATGATTTACTTACAATAGACTTGTCAGTGGAGTCTGCACTTGATTGATGTCACCCTTTTTATATGTTAACGTTTAAAAATAAATTTCTGGTTATTTATAGGCGTTTATAAGATTCAAGATAAGACATCAAATATTTGCTTCCTACAATATAATATTCTTAATTATTTCCCTTTACCTTCAACGAGATGAAATCCCGCGCGCGCAAGCGCGGGGAATTGAATTTTTACCGCCACTGGCGATGGAGCAATTCCAATAATATACATATATCTAAAAATTTCTCTAAACAGATTAATTAGTCTTATATAACAGGAAGATATACTTGTTCAGAATTCTCAGCTACTGTAGATGCAGGGGTAGAAATGCGTCATTTCCCATCCACCAACCTCCTTTTTTGTTTTTGTATTTTTTTTTTGGAAAGAATTTGAAAAATACCAGTTTCATTAATTAAAATTTTCTTTTTATATTTTAGGCCAGCATTTTTTTTATCTTTTGGTTTAAGAACCCGCCGCTGGAGTTTTTTAATTTTCAGAAAAAAAAAAAAAAAAAATTGAGAAAAAAAGGATTTTTTTTCTTTCCCGATGTCGAATTTGAGTCGGGATCGAGATTTCAAATTTACGAACTCGTATTTCCGGTTTAAGATAACATGGCGGGTAAACAAAGCTAGACATGCATAGTCCATAGCAGCACTTGGTTTAGTGTAAAATTTATCGATATGAGTGCCATTCAAAACGTTTTACCCGTTCAGAGGACAAATAAAATGCTGACGACTTTGTTGCACAATGACATGTTGGTGAGATAATTAATTTATTATGTATCCGTATTCAAAAGTAACAGCGTGTAAATTAATTTCCTCCGACAGGTTAAAAAATGCCCACGGTAGGTATAGCCAGAAACATTGTTTAGGTCTCTGTTATAGCCTATAATCTAAGCAACATTCTTTAGAAAAGGATCGCTTATGCGTCAAATGTATTGAATAAAACTATGGGTGAAGTGAAGTCCATTTGAACAGGTTGGGAACAATCGCCCAAATGAGATATAATAACCCGTCTGGGATATAATGTCCCAAATGGGATATAAATTTACAGTGCTAAAAATTGAAAAAACTTATTTTGGCTGTACCTCTAAATATCATAAATCCGCATCAAAATACTTTCAGAGGAATAACTTTTGGCAAGCAAGTTTTTCTGCAACCCTACGGGTTGTTAGATTGATTGATTGATTGTATGTTGTTTAACGTCCCTCTCGAGAATTTTTCACTCATATGGAGACGCCACCACTTGTCGGTGGAGAGCTGCAAATTTTGTCCTGTACTCGGCACTTACGGCCATTGAGCAGTGAGGGGTCTTTTTCGTGCCAGCACCTACTGCGACACGCGGCCTCGGTTTATACGGTCTCATCCGAAGGATCGGTCTCCACGTCCCACAGTGGGATTCGAACCCGCGACGTAAGGATCAACTCCTTACTTCGCGACTCTAGAGCAGACGCTCTAACCACTGCGCCACGCGGGCGACTGTAAGATTGATCTCCAAGAAGTTTACGAACTTCCGAGGGATCAATCTCTTAAACAGCGGTCATACAGAAGAACTTGTTAACCAAAAGTTATTCCTTTATAAGTATCTTGATGCGGATTTATGATATTTATAGCCAAGATAAAAATTTTCATTTTTTTGCATTGTAAATTTATATCCCATTTGGGATATTATATCCCAAACGGGCTATTATATCCCATTTGGGCTATTGGTCCCAACCTGTTGAAGGTGAAATAAACAATAGCCTAAAGAAACGAAACATTTCAATTATTAAAGAAAACAAGTGTATACCAAACAAGTATATACCAATATATACAGGCATATAGTATCGATTTTGAATGTGGCAGCCAGAAAAAATTATTTTACACTTAATTGAAGAAAATTTGACCCCCCTCCCCAATACTCCCTGTCTGTAATATGATAGGAATATATATTTACTAATTATATATATTTACAGAGGCGTAGTCACAAGCTTAAAAGTGGGGGGGGGGGGGGGGCTCAAATCCAAGAATGTACAAAAGTCGATAATTTATGAAAAAAAAAAAAAATTATTTCCTCCTCTTACGGGACTTTTTCATTCTGGTGTTCGTAAACCTAAAATAAAAAAAAAAATGCTGGCCTTGGGAACTTTATTTCTGATACCTGTTGTATACACACAAAAAGGGAATATGCTCATTTTCTGATCGATTTATAAGCATTTTTATGTATAAAAATTTGCTTTTCACTCCTTATGCATAGACCTAATATTAAATACAAACGGTAAATATTGTTTAAAAAAATCAGCAAACAAACAAAACATAAAACACAAAACAAACAAACAAAAAATAATCAAAACACAGACACAGAAAGTATTGATTAAAATACAAATTTTTAAAAGCTATAGTCAAATGTGAAACTTTAAAATGTACCACTTTTTTCATATATTAGTGATTCAATCCCTGTCTTTTTCTTTTTAACATCGTTCGATGACATATGACGTTCAACAATTTTTTTTTTCAAGACTAAAATCGGGGACTGACAAGAACAATTTGCACATTTTGTTTTTTAATTAATCAGTTATCTCAACTTATTTTTTTCTACATCGATTGAATACTTCACTAATAATTAATCGATTGTTTGTTGTCAATTTCATTAATCAAAGTACTCAGAAGTACAAAAACACAGGGTTCATTTACAGAATATTGAAAAAAGACCGTTTTGCATGAAAATACATTGTAAAAACGTTAACAGATAAATAGCAAGAAGTTTAGAAACTTGAAGAATATGAAGCAAAAAAAAAAAAAAAAGGATATCTTCTATGGCATATAGCACAAAATGTTAAAAAAATAAATAAAACATAATTAGAATTTAACAGAGTAAACAATTTATCATATGCATCGTTCTGGAGTCTTCTACCACTTACAAATTAAAATAAACATTGATACAACAAGCTAAAACGTTTGTCCACTGATAAATCCTCAGCTGTGAGCACAACCTCGATTTACAGAATGTAAGGCAGACAGGGGACCTGATGAAAACCTATATCGCATAATTTAAACAAATAGTTAATCAAAGAACATGGAAGAAATTACATTACCATTAATTTATTTGTTTAGAAAATTCCACAGTTTTGTTTAATATAGTGTTTGTATTGTCTCAAAAGCATCTGAGCATACATACTATATTTTTACTCGTAAATTTGATCTGGCGGCGAGGGAGTGCATATCCGTGACAAACGGCTAATTTCTCTATATTTAAGCCCGGTCGGCTTAAAATTGCAAGTAACTTGGATCCGCCAACCGTAACATACTCTTTTTGCTATTTCACGACTGTTTATCGAAAACGAAAGTAGACTTAACTAAAATTTACGATAATTACTATTCGAGTGAAATCTTAATATAGTTTTCGGACATCATCTTATACTTAATGTAACATTAGAGGAGTAAGTATGAATTCTGGTGTAGGGGTTTCGGATTTTTATTTGCAAAAATTATTAATATATAAGTATAGACGCTTAAAAAACCCTTTTGAAATTGAATACTCATCATCTATATATTAAGAGTAATCAATTTAGAGAAAGTAATATGATATACATGTAGTAAGACAAATATAAACTAGAGGTTCTGTGAGCACTGAACTCGCATAAAGATACTCCCTGCTCCCATACGAGTCCATTTTTTGATATATGAGAAAGCCCAAATATATGTGCGATCAAAACATAAAATAGGAGGTGCACAATGGCTCTATGTAATAAAGATTCTGTGAAATTATCATTAAATTTAATTCAGTGGTATAGGGGGAGTTAAGGATAAGAGGTGGATACCCCCAATATAATAGAAAGAATAGCAGTGTCTATGTTTTGCTATGTGAAACCTAAAATATATGTCAAATCAAAAAAGTAAAGAAGGAAGTACACGATGGCACTGTGTAATTAAGATTCTGTGAAAGTATCATTAAAGACCTAAATTCACGAAGGGGCTCAATCGGCCCATTTTTTTTTCAGGAACATTTAACTGAGGGGAAGAAGAAAATTAACAATAGAAATATTATCCTTAAATAGTTTATGCCAATTTTTCTATTTGATGACGTCATATTTGTACAGAAAACGTCTAAACACGTGCATTTCCCTACTTTTTATCAAAAAAAACAACAACATTTTTTCGTCTTTGGTTCAAAATTTTGCTGTGGCCACACCCTTCGAACAAAATAAAATTTATACCATTGAAAAAAGAATTAAAACAGAGATAAATAAAGCATATTTTTATTTTGTTCGAGGAGTGTGGCCACATCGAAATTGATACTTTTCGTCAAATCTCTTAGCACCAACTAACACAGTGGAAATAACGTTGATAACGGTAGACAGTAACAAAAAATCTAGTAAGTAAGTGATATCATTTATACGCATTGGAGATATTACCAACTCAGCTTTGGAATTAGTGATATAGCGTATATGATTACGTCTTAACACCTACTAATTTTGAATAGATATCACCAAATGGGAATGGTGAATGCAAAATTGAATTCGAAAAAAGGATGTCATCGCTCTGAATAAATTGTAACCTGCACCAAAAAACGCACTAAAAATAAATTATTAATTGCTATTATTTATTCCCATTAGTTACATCAATTCTCGTGGTAGAATCACCTGTTCAAAATCAATTATTTACACCACTAAGATGATATCACCAATTCGGATATGTGGTATAAACAAATGACAACGATAGAAGGCGCCTCGAATAATTATTTTTATTGAACGATTTATTCAGTATAATGAGAGAGGCTGGTATGAAGGGAAATCACAATAAGGAAAAAAAAATCAGCATTGCAGACACATTTAACAAGTACACTAAAATATATTAATGATTAGGTCAGTTGTGTTTTTAGATATCGTTGAAGCACATTTGTTAAGTGGAAAACATCATATATCAGTGTTCACTTTTCCATTAATTTTTATTTCATTCTGGATTATTGATTATGAAATTTGAAGATTCCCTTTCCGTTTGTAACATCTCTCTCGAGACTGCTTAACACAAGTTCATGAGGTTTGGTTGAATTTTTATTGGTGTGTCGTACGATGGGAAACAGAGTGAAACAAAATCGATCATAAACCATACAGTTCTAAATTATGAAGACGAAGCATCTAAGTTCTCCACTGACCCTGCAGTGGACTATCTACTTGTCTATACTTTGGATAATGATGAGAGTGCCGAGCTGTGTGGGTAAGTGTTTGTGATAGATAATGACTTGAAAAATTAATTTCAAACATGAAAAAAAAAAAACACGAGGAAATTCATTCAGTTACTTCAGCCCAATTTCATTGATTAATTAGAGTTTGAGTAAGTCAAAGCATCACGCTGGAATAGGAATGTAGAACAGTAATATCTAAATGAATATGAGGGTATAGGCGTCTGTTGCAAAGCGAAAAAGCTGCTCTTGATCTACCCTCTAACTAAAGAAACAATATAAACACACTAAAAAATGAAATGTACAAAGCAGCTTGCAAAGGTCAGCTGCTATTCAGAGATATTCGTATTTAAAGTAAAACTATGCTAAAGAACTCGAACCCACTTAAAAATCACGTGCATTTCATACTGAAAAATATAATTATACATTACACAAATGGATTACAATTTACACAGCGTGATTAATTGTATTTTAACATAAATTTCATTACAGCTTCCCTTTGTCCTAAATGTCTTCATATGGAGTCAAACAGCTTTTATGCTTCAATCGTAAAGCTGCCCTCTAATCCAAAATGTGAAACAGAACAATGGGCAGAGTTAAATATGTCTTGTCCTAACGAGTCTGCGGAAGACAAAATACACATGTGTGGATTTATGAGGGGGAATTTGACAGTCAAAATAAATTTTAGTACGTATAAAATATATAGAGGATATTCAATGTTTTGTTGTTGAATATAGAATTTAGTTCACGAGTGGGACAGGATTTTTTATTTTCACGAGTGCGAAGCCCGAGTGAAAATATCAAAAAATGCGGTCTCACGAGTAAAATGAATTTCATATCCTACTACAAAATATTGAATTTTCTGTTTATTACATTTTTTTTGATTTATCCTTTGCCTCTGTCTTTTCGTAGCACAGTGTGATAGGCTGCGACGTCATAGTTGAGCAGATAAGACGTCATCTAGCCTAGCGATTATGAGATTGAAAACTTTGTAAACATGGTAAAAATGGATTTAAACAATATATTGGAAAAACTTTGGCAGTTTTAGTTTCTGTCAGGATGATTTATTTACTATCTCTATCTTATTACAGACCAAGGAGTATTTTTTATAACATTCTTCGTGAAGGGAAGGAAAATCGCGAGTTTTGCCGCACTTCTGATATTCTGTCACAATGTGACAGAATATCACTTTGATATTCTTTCATACTGAATATCACTCTTATTCAGTAAATCAATTATAGTATTTCACTTAATAATGATGTATCTTTTGTCTGTTCTTTGTTGTCAGTTTTATTTTGGGGGTGGGGTTGATTTTTATTTAGTGATTCAATACAAAGCCGGGAATTAAAATGCAAAATTTTACTGTTAATCGACCTTGTTAAATATTTGAGAGGTCAGAAATATAAAAAATGTGTATTTCTCTATACCCAATGATATCACTTAAATTTCACAAACTTCTTTGTATTATTCCAATGTTTACAAAAAATTGCTTTCAGAAAAAAAGAATATCCAACTGATATTGATAAGATATTACATACTTATAGATTTATTGTCTCCGGAAGTGAAGGGATCAGTTACCTACTATGACTGTGTACTTGTGAGCAAAGACATCACTACAGGATGCCAGGCAAATGTCACTGGCCCAATGGAAAAAGCCCTGCTACAGAAGTTGGGTCCAAGTATCCCGGATGTTACCGTGTCGGCATTCCATGGCAATTCTTGTCTTTCTTACCCTGTCACTAACATCCGGGTATCGCCAACAGATGGGAGTGTGGAAGCAACGGGTATTATTACCGGATATCTACAATGAAATTTCTCACCGACTTTTCCCCAAATTGTCCAAAATTTTGTCAAATGTTTTCAATCTATCTGTAATTCTTTTATTGGGGTGGGTAGGGGGTTCTACCAAGAATGGAATCCTCATTGTTAAATTTGGGCCCACATACATACATGTATCCAAAAACTTATTAATTAGAGTTGTTATCTTATTAATTAGAGTTGTTATCTATAAGATACATGTACATTGTTTGCGGACCATGACGAATGTAATGAACCCTTACTTTTGGGTAACAATCAAAATTAAATATTATTTAGGAACTCTTTCATTTCAATATATATATATATATATATATATATATATATATATATATATATATATATATATATATATATATATATATATATATACAAAGCACTAAAAATGACCAACGACACGAACAATAATAATTGTCAAATTTTCGGGACGACCTGCCCCTTCCTCAGGACAAAGAAAAAGTTAAGAAGTCATAAAAACAAAGGAAATAGAGAAACAAAAACAACTAGCACTACTACTAAACTACCAAACACTAAATATTTACAGTGTTACATGTTAAATTTCAAGTTAATAAACAGTCGTGAACAAAGAAATCCGGAGCGCTATGAATTGCGTCTAGTCTATCGGGTGAACTCTGATGAAGTGCGATTTACATAATTGAACGAATTAATTATCGCTAATTAATTACGACAAGCAGTAAATCGTACATTGTCTTATTCTCTCAAAATAGCGTAACTATACATGATAAAAAGAAATTAAAGAAAGATAATATGGAAGGGCAATTTTAAAAATATGAATTTGGATATATTATAAATTAGGAAATCGGATAAAAGAAATACACAAAAATGTAAGCTGTAAATATCTGGGTAGGTTGTTCCAGAATTGCTAATGCGAATTAACGGTAAAGTTTACACTATATAGAGAGAATGAACTTGTTTGTTACAATCCGGGATTGGGTCTAGTTCACGTTCATCCTGGTGAAGTCATTAAATTTGTTAATACCACCAGGGCGGAATGACTTCAGCCTGTGCATCCAGAACTTTTCCTTGCCTTTTCTCTGAGCGTCTGTCCATCTTGGATTATGGTCAATAACCACTACTGTCATGTCCTCCCATTTGTGACCTTCAAGGTTGAAATGTTATCCAACGGGTTCATTGAGTTTTTTGGTCCTAATGGTAGAACGGTGATTATTGACTCTCCTGCGGAGATCTCCTGTTTCGCCAACATACTGTTTGGAGTAAACTTTGCAACTGATGAGATAAATGCAGTTGTCTGTTTGACATACTTTTCATACCTATAAGCAAATTAATCAGTTAAAGAACTTATATGAAACATAATCAAACCCTTCAGTCGCAATCAATTTAATATTTTATACATTGTATGATAAGAAGTCTGTTGATTTACCTGTTATTATTTTCAGAACCTGATAGAGGGCAAAATCCTGCGAGTAAGGACTTATCATCAGCATCGAGTAAACTTTGTTCAACATTCAAAATATTTCCATATTTTATTCCTGTAATTTATATACATAAGTTGCTTATTTTTTAAAAAGAGGAAGAAAAGAAAAAGTAAGACCAAATAAGGTGTAGAAAATCAATAGTGTATGTACAAAATTATGCATAATGTATTTAATAAAATGTTATATTAAGTTAAATTATCCTTAGACAAAGCTGCTTTTTGTGTAAAAATAAATATGAATTGCCTGTCAATTACATGTAATACACGAAGTCGTTATTTGTCGCCTTTAGGTTATCTTAAATATGATTGATAATATACATGTAGTATAAACGTTTTAATCACACTCTAACTTTCTTGACTTTGTACCGATATTGATATTTGTTTCTTTCCATTGATATTATTTTCAACTTTGAAGATTGCAACAAAAGGAAATCTATAGCACTTGTATGGATAATACGCAAACCATGTTTTCTGTTCAGTGCTTCATGGACAAGGAAAATAAATCTATCATGAAACCATGTGTTTTAGTATGTTTTGAAGTGCCTCATCATGTGATGGAAAATATTATATTTAAAATAAAATCATATACAAACAAATGCTGACAGCTAATGATAAAGCATATGACAAAGATACAGAAAAACCTTATATGAACAATGAAATCAGACTCTGCTTGTTATTAACACGTGAAAGCAACATTTTCTTCTGTATGCACAGGGGTTTGCGTCTGATTAAGCGGGGTTTTTTTTGTTTTTGTTTTTTTTTTTAAATTATTATTATTTTGAATTCACAGTAAGTAATATACATATTTTTTTGCGTTTTAGATATTAAACATATGTCATATGTACAGTCTTCAGATTCCCAGTTTTGGTATAAAACCAATAGTTCATACAAACAATTGAAAGAATGTAAAGTTTCTATTAAAGATATATTCGAAGACTCCTTTTCCGATCCCATGTCTTCTATTTCAAAATGTTCTGCGAAAAACTGTAAAATCTGTGACATTTTGATAACTAACACTTCTTTCACCAGTAATCTTACTGGACAGAGCTTCTGTACCAAAACTTGGGAAAATCTGAACTGCAAATCTTCTAATGTTGTCTACGGAATAGAATGTAATCTTTGTGGACTTGTTTATGTTGGTGAAACCAAGGGATCACTCAATAAAAGAACATCAGGTCATAGATTTCAGATAAATAATGGGGGTCAGCAACTTTTATACAAACATTTTAATTTACCTGATCATTCAATTTTGTCAATGAAAGTTAGAATTCTGGAAAAGTTTTACCACCACACAAACAGTCCATCACTGAGTACACCTTTCCGTAGACAACGAGAAGAATTTTGGATAAGAAAGCTAGGGACAGCCTTTCCCTATGGATGTAATGACAATGTCTATAGTGTTGGAAATCTTTCCAGTCCACAGTGTAACAATGTAAATGTGATGGGACTTTTTAACCATACACAGAAACGTAAGCGTAGTCATGGGCATCGGTCTTACAATAAACCTTTAATACACGATGTCTCTTTTGATTCATTACTACCTTACGTAAATCAACAGTTAGGGTTACATCATATTCGCACCAAACTTTACTCTGTCCCTTTGAAACTTTTAAATAGTCTTCTTAAAAAGGTCAAGGAAAGTCCATTTTTTGATTCCTCGACACCAGAATATAGGCTCGGATCTGTAGTTATGGATATTGCCAATCATAGGCTTTTTAAACCCCCGCGTTTTACTGAAGAAAATGCAGCTAAAACAATCCGTTTTTTCCTTAAACTTCAATATGCCAACAAAGGAATTGACGCGGTTAATATAAGTAATATCCTTAATCACAAAAGGGTCCAGTCTTGTATTCCACCATACTTCAAGTTAAAGACTACACCTTGTATTTCCTACAAATATACATCGACTATTGCTTCCAAAATTTTTAATTACAAGAAAACTTTACAGGGCCTGGATATCGAATATCTGAAACATAATCCTCCATCGTGTTCATGTTCTTCTTCGCCCTATAACTATTGTCCTGCTGGACACGTTATTACTGGTGACGTAAATATAGTTAATAATGAGGATCTTAGATCACTAATTTTAAAAGGTCCTAAATTTAGGGAACCCAGATCCTTCAACTGGCGTAAGAATTTCATAAATATTATGGATTCTGTAGAGGACTACGCCAGGCGATGGGCCAGACATGAAAAAGAAGACCTTGACACTTTGTCAGAATGGATTAAATGTATCAGATGTATGTTAAAATCGCGCATTAAAAGATTGAGAGGCAATATGAAAACCATCTATCCTTCTGTTTTCAATAATCCAGAAGTGAAAAAAGAATTAGATAGATTACATGATCAGTACGTACTGGTCCCTGCTGACAAAGCAGGTAACAACATTGTCTTTGTTTGTAAGGCTCATTATATTAAATGTATTTTAGAGGAACTTGGATTTAATTCTACAAGTGGTAATCCAACTTATACTCATAGTTCCCTTTCTAAGGAAGAAATTCATCAAAATCATATGTCAGTTTTGAATATTTTTAATATTCCAAACAACCAAAATGAATTCGAATTACCATATTTATATTGGATTCCGAAACTTCATAAAAATCCTTACAAACAAAGATACATAGCGGGTTCCAGTAAATGTTCAACCAAGCCTCTATCTTAACTCCTCACAAAGATATTAACAGTGGTGAAGGAGAAACTTCAAGAGTACTGTGCAACAATATATTCGAGAAGTGGTGTAAATCAGATGTGGATACTTAAAAATTCCAAGGAACTTTTGGAAAATTTGAAATCACAAGATTTTACCAAAATCAACAGCTTAAAAACTTATGACTTTTCAACTTTATACACAACCATTCCCCACGATAAATTAAAGTCAAGGCTTTTTGATATCATTGACAGCTGCTTTTTCAATAAAAATGGAACTCGTAAATATACTTACCTTGTCATTGGTCATTTGCAAAATTATTTTGTTAAAAAACATTGTGATTGTACACAGAAGTACTCTGAAGTTGACATTAAAAAGATGCTTGAGTTTCTGATTGACAATATCTATGTGGTTTTGGAGACCAGGTCTTCCAACAATCTATTGGAATTTCTATGGGTACCAATTACGCCCCGTTATTAGCAGACCTTTTTTTTGTATTCATATGAAGCAGAATTTGTCCAAAATCTTGTACGTGAAAAGAAGAAAACACTTGCTGTGGCCTTCAACTCCACATTTAGATATATCGACGACGTATTGTCAATTAACAATGGCTATTTTCATTCTTATGTCGATACGATATATCCTGGTGAACATGAGATAAAAAATACCACAGAGTCTGACACATCTGTTTCATATTTGGATATTTTACTTGAAAAAGACGTTAATGGTAATCTAACAACCAAGCTTTATGATAAACGTGATGACTTTAACTTTTCAATCGTCAACTTCCCTTACTTATGCAGCATTATACCTTCATCACCTGCATAGGGGGTATATATCTCTCAGTTGATTCGATACGCAAGAGCATGCTCTACGTATGTACAATTTCTAAAACGAGGTAAATTATTGACAAATAAGTTGATGAAACAAGAATATCAGCTGTCTCGTTTAAAGTCATCATTTCGTAAGTTCTATGGTCGATACAATGACCTTGTCAGCAAATACAATTTATCATTGAGTCAAATGCTGACTGACGTTTTTCATACTAATTGTTAGACCATTATTTACACACTGAATTGTCGACGGATTTTTCCGTTATTTCCCGATGATGACAAGGAGCACACGGCGGGTGTGACCGGTCGGCAGGGGATGCTCACTCCTCCATGGCACCTGATCCCACCTCTGATGTTTGGAGGTCCGTGTTTGCTCTGCTCCTATTTTGTATTGTATAATGGACTTTTGAGCTTGAATACTGTTCGTTATCTCCATATATTTCATAATAAGGACAAAATATAAAATCAATCGTTATAAATTAATCTAAAAAAGGGTGGTATATTCTTAGCACGTTGACTAAAATAATACTTCCTGATCAAAATTTATCCGTAGTCTTTCTTCCTGTTTACTCTCCAAATTGTTGACGTCTTTACCAGAATGAATTAATCATTTTAAACTTATCATGACAAAAAAAAGTATCCATGGCTAAAGAGAATTTCAATTCAAAGGAAGGTCTATGCCACCTTCAAGGGGAGATAGTACAAAAAGTCATGCCATGTAAATAGTATTGAAAATAACTTTTTATTTGAGAGATGATCTGCTCGCGAAAATATAATTCTCGCATATGTATATGTTTATAGATTAGATTATAAACAACAAATACATGAGTTTGTAAAAATTTTGTCTTGCTTATAAATTCCAATTACCTATCTCGCTAAAATATTTGGTGATCTACAATATACACATGTAAATAGTACATATAGGGTGTAGTCATTGAAAAATCTTGGAAAGTAATCTTCTAATGTCTCAGCGGAAACACATTTTGAAATGTTTTTCTTATTCACTCTTTCGTAAAAGCTAGTAGTCCCTAAATACATAACTTTGTCCAAAGACAGGATATGACGACAATATTAATATAGACTGCATAATCACTTTTTAAATTGTATTTGACAATTTTTAGCCATGTTTTTTTTTTATACTGGTAACCTCCGTGTATATTGTAACATGAACTGTAAGCAAAGCATCGATTCTGACTAACTGACCATGAATAGAAGAAACTTCGTGATAACTTTACGTACTTATACATGTACATGAGTCATGTCATAAATATCCTTTGTGTTTAAACCAAGAAAGTAAATCAATTAAAAAGATACTATAATGAAGCCAAGCTAGGGGTTGAGTGAAAAATTCAACTGAAATAATTGTATCATAGAAGCAAAACCTGTAAGCTTACACGAAAATCTCCTTCTAAACTTTTCAGTATCCTGTTACTTACACAAGAAACTGACACAAAGGTTTACATCAATGAGAACTGCTTGTGCTGTTAAAGTATTTGGTTATTACAACTGCTAGATAGATAAAAAATCATTTTTTTTTCTTCATTTTTAGATGTTGCACTCGATGATCTTCAAAAACTTCGTCCACTATCATGATTATCAATCAATAATTTAATTTTGTTTGTATTCTTGCATCTGATTGGTTAATATCCAAAAAGGAACACAAATTATTTCTGTATAACCTGGTTTGGTATGGGGACACATCCCCCTGACAACCAGCTGGATTATCTGTATCCATACAATCCTCTCATTTCCAGTCCTCGAGATTCATGGAAAATTCCAGATGTAATAAACGTACCTTTAACTTCAAACGATAATTCGCTGTTACCACATGTAAAAAAGCTGCTAGGCCTATGTATCAGTTTTTACCTCCCCTTGCTTCCCATCACTTCCGTAACGGTTACTAAGGTTGTATTATTGAGCGGCAAATTTGAACTAATAAAAAGCAACGAAATTTTACACCCATAGTTATTTCATGATTTTAAAATTAAATTATAAGGAATGACTCTAATTCTTGGCCAAATTATTCGAGTATAACCTGGTTTGGGTCAGTTTACGCTGTTTTATAATCCGCTTCGCGGTTATACTCGAATAATTTGGCCAAGAATTAGAGTCATTCCTAAATTAGAATTCAATACAGGGTTTAATCTTATCATAGGAAGCAATGGTAGTGGGAAGTCTGTGATCTTTGAAATCATAAGACGTTGTTTGTCCACTAAATTGAGTGCAACCATAACCTCTACCTATGGCGAAAGTAAAGTGTCATTCGCTGTATGTAGATATGTCAATGTGTCTGCAGATCTAAATACCATGCTATCTGGAATATACAAGCAACTGGGAGACGAACCGAAGCAAACTACATATGTTAAATTTGTCATATTCCAATCCAGTGAAAAGCAGTATACTTGTTGTGCCAATAAGTATGCTTGCAAAGAAAGGAATATTTTATCGGAAGATACGATCATGTCATCAGAAAATATATACGTCACTGAAAAGAAAACACCAAATATTTATATTTTTTTGAAACTCGGAGTAGTTCCAAAACGTAAAGATGAAGATGCCGTTGAAAAAGAGATTATCAATTTATTCAATGAATGTGACTTTCAACAAAAATGGGACAAAAATGTAGACTAGCAATGTTGGACGATAATTTTGTGGCAACCTTTCCTATGCGATCCATCGGTCCATCACAATGGACTGAAAATGATAGAGTAAATGCAATCTTACATATGGAAAATGAAATGATAACCAATGAAAGAGCAGAGATTTTTCATTTTCTATTTGAGAAAGGCATGAAAGGTTTTAATAAACAATTATTTGAGGAAACACTGTGGAAACTCACTAATCCAAAAAAAAAATACACGCTTAGTCTAGAGGAAATTAATGAAAGTAATGTGTTAAGAAAGTTGGTAAATATTAACGGCAAAGGTTTAATAAGGGCCCCAGAAGGTGTAATAGAGGCAGTGCAATTCGCTCTGATATACTTTTGTAGAGATTACTACACGATATGTTTAGAGGTACCAGATAGAGGCATGCACTCGCACATGGTAGAACGCTTAAGGGATGTCATTTACAGATCAAAAAAAAGTTTTTGTTTTAATTTCCCATAATATTTCTTTTGTGAGTCGTGGAACATTGCAACATAGCCACATCTGCGTTCCAGAGAGATTAACTGCAAACAAATCATTGCATCGTGGGATTTTGTTCACTGACTTGGACGCCTCTCCAGTTACTAATATCCAGAAACGTGATGGCACTGATGATTTGAAAAAAAATTTCTTTTTTCTTCTAAAAGTCTATGCGTTGAAGGAAAAGAAGACAAAATTCTGATAAATGCAATTTTTGACTACCTGGTAGAGCACATAAAAGAAGATGAAAATTATTTTATTTTTGGCGATTTACAAATTAGTCGTGAGGAAATTCAGTATTTTTCAAGCCATCAAAAGGTTGCATTCGGTTCATACACGATGGAAGGAACGGTTCGACGATGACGTAATAAAATTAAATTGAACTGCACAAGTCTGTTAGATTTAGATGCATTTGTCAGAATTTCGAACAGAGAGAGAAAGGAAATAAAAATAATTCTTGAAGACGACGAATCCACATATTATAAGGAAGCATCGTCTTTCAAAGATCTTGTCACCTTCGACAAAGATAAAAATGGATTCGAAAAACTGGCTGAGGTAAAGGAAGGAAAGGGAATATTCTTCTGGAGGGTAGGGCGTCTGGAGAAAGTTATACTGCAGTCTTTGACAAAAACCCAAGTTGATAAACATTTCAATGAAAACCAAGATTTGAGTGTGCGTCATCTTTCAGAATATGAATTTGCTAATAAGAATGATAAAAAAACAGGTGAAACTTCACCTTCTTGGATTCAAAAGAAGTGAATTCAGTGATCTGGTGAAAGATTTAATAGAAACATCAGAAATAATAAGATTCTTTCAATTCATGAAGCGAAGATTCAACAAAGAAGCTCTGCAGGAAAGTGAAAACATTTCTTGAACTGAATTTCTTGTGATAAAATGTGTTGTTTTTTTTCAAAACGTACATGTAATATAACATAATTGAATCAAACTTATGCTAATTATGAGCTCTCAGGTCCAGTCTTTGTCATACACAAAGAATCTGAAACAATACGACCAAGAGCTTCATGGTATTTCTGAAAAGGACAATGATTATGGCAAATGGTTGCTGTGTACTGATCTTATGTCACAAGAGCACTATAGTGGATTAGAAGGACGCCTGAAATCGTGTCTTCGGTTGTTTTATCTTACATAAAACGGCACAATAGATAATGTGTCATAAATATTTAGTCAACCATTAATACAACTACTTGTAGAATATATTGAATAAAATAAACGTAATTCAAAATCATCAGAAAGGTTAGAGAAAATTGCATGGTACAGTTTTTTTTTTTTTTATGTTTTGTGAATACCAGGGATGCCAAAGAATAATAGACTATTCGACTATCAATCGAATGGAACGACGGTCGAATAATGAAACGACATTCGAACATTGTTTTTAAATAAATGCAATAAAAGAGTGATAAGGAGATGGAATTCTCATCTCAAAATTGAGAGTCGCCCGCGCGTGGCCCAGTGTTTAGAGCGTTTGCTCTAGAGTCGCGGAGTAAGGAGTTAATCCTTACGTCGCTGGTTCGAATCCCACAGTGGGACAGTGGTCCTTCGCATAAGACCGTATCAACCGAGGTCCCGTGTCGCAGTAAGTCGCATGAAAAAGATCCCTCACTGCTCAATGGCCCTAAGTGCCGAGTAAAGGTCAAAATTTAAACCTCTCCACCGGCAGGTGGTGGCGTCTCCATATGAGTGAAAAATTCTCGAGAGGAGGTTAAACAACAATAAACAAACAAACGAACAAAATTGAGAAACCGTTTTTCCTCTGAGACAGTCGATAAGACAATTTTTCTCAACAAAAACGGTTGACTTTCCATGTACATCTAGAAGGTACAGTAATTATAAGTGCCTCGCTACAGCGATAATTATTTGTCATTTACTATCTGTGTTGTTTTTGTAATAAATTATCCATCAATATACTGGTCTTTGTAAAATTATTATTTGGACTTGACCTTATACCACGTACCAATTATATTTTGTTATTTTAAGATTGTTCTAACCATAGCCGTGACATGTGTTGACACTTAGATAATTATATTTACATTTCCAAACATTTTTCCTTAAGATTTTTTGCAAATTAGAAAAAGTTCATGTTATCATGAACTACCATGGGATTCATGATTATATCATTTCCAAACATGGGATGAGAAAGAATATTTCCATTGTGATTTGACTGACGTCAAAAAAGTGCAACCTTTTTTTTTTAATGATCGTTGAATGACAAAATTATGTGGCGAGTCATCAGAAAAATAATGTAAATATAATATATGAAATTAATTTTTGAGAATTCATGAGGTAAATGAACGACAACGCGCTTCATGAAATATGCCGGTGTAAAGACGAATAATGACCCCCATAGAATAATGACCGGGGGTCATTTCTCGCCATCGAATAATGACTCCTAGTCATTATTCAACGGCGAAAAATGACCCCGGTCATTATTCTACGTCGAAAAATGACCCTTCTGCCCGTAGAAAAAGTGTCATCACCCTAAAAATCTGCATACACCCGTGAAGAAAAATGACTCCCATAGAATAATGACCCCTTGTGGATTAAAGCGGATTAAAGTTGAACTTTTTAGGGGGCAAAATAAAAATAATAAATCAAGAGACTTGTTGGCCAAAATGCTCACTTGAGCTAAATTTGGAATAAATTGATGATATGTTGATCTCATTACATAATACAGTTATTGCTGTTTTTAAGATCAATGCGATGATTCAGAATCTAGAGGAGTTAAAGATTTATCGAGCTCAAAGGGCGAGGAGAGCATTGTTTTTCGATGGTGGAAAGTTACTGATCGTCCTGACAGAAAAAACAGCAATAATTGTTTTATTATATGATTCAACAATTAAATTGATACAAAGTGAATAAGCAGACATATCAAGTTTCTTGTTTACATTTGCTCAAGTCCTAGCCAAACACAGTGAGAGAATCGTAGTTAACATAAGCATAACCAGTATTAATTTTGCATTTGAAATCTAGTTTTGGTGCAATGTAGAAAAAATTAATGTCAGGCATAGCATCGAAAGGAGAAATGGTGCATTATAAGAGGCAAAATGACAAATTACCGTAGAAATATATTTGATGAACCCCTCAAAAAGTTTATCAATGTAAAAGAGATTTCCTTTTACTGTGTCAAAAAGTTGGGGGTAGGACAACCAGACTTGCAATGACCATTTTCAAGCGACAAAAAAAATAAATAAATACGTTCATTGAAATGGAAGGGGGAGGACATCCCACCCTTGATTCTATGTGCCTGAATTTTATGTTCATTTTGTCCACTCAAGTAGGAGAGATTTTTTAAATTAAACTGTATAAGAAAGAGGGGTTTGGTTACGAGACTTTCATTGAACGTTTTCAAGCTAGAAATTGCTACAATTTACATTCAGAAAATGGGGGAACAATCCCTAACTCTTCTCCGATTCTTAGTGCCTGAATATTATGTTCACTTGAGTGGAATTCAGATGCAGGTGACTAGCACCATAAAGTTAAAACCGCTTTAGGTACATCAATGAATTTTTAAATATTTAGTTAGCATCATCTTTTCTATCTATAGACTAAACCACAAATCATAAATTTATTTTTTGATAAATTAGTAATGTTTTTGTAAGCAATGGTATGTCCAGGCGGCGCATCCTCGAACATGACGTTTTTTTCGACCTAAGTGATACTGAGAAAAACTCTTTTGTCTTGAACACTTGACATTCAAAAATCCCGTTAATTCAGGTATGTGATGGGACACTATTGTTCCCTATAATATGCAATTTTTACCTTATTCTGTAAGTTCTATGAAATTTTATCGTAAATTTTGTATGGAGTGCCAAACAATTAAGGGCTTGAAAATGACGTCATAAAGGGGGAGGGGTTTCTTTTTCCAACATTCTATAAAGTTTTGCCCCTGAAAAAAACAGGTATAGACCTAGGAAATGTTTAAACTGGCTACAGAGAAATAAAATGCATCCAGAGTATTTATTTTTTAATGTCAAAATAAATTCAAAGAGAAAAGGGATTAACAGTTAATGTCGATTTGTAGTCAAGGTGTGAAAAGTCAATCACGTCAAAAAACGACGTTGATCATGTGAGGTAGATATTGAACTCCAAAAATCAAAATATGCTTGCATAATCAAGCGAGGATCTCTCCCAATGTATAAATCCATTTACAATATTATATGCATTGAAAGCAGCTGTTCATGGCATTGTAAAGTCATATAAACAAGACGTGTTTAAGTCCTTACTCAGCTCCAGTGAATCTCATCAAGATAAGTGTATGAGGTAGAAGAATCAGACATTGAAAAACAATGACGTTGTCGGACTTCATGAAACTAAACGGCGACAGCGCCGGGTGATCATATATATTATCATGTATTCTTTTAAGTAAGCATGCATGATCGCCAATTTCTCTGAATTTTCTTCTGGCACCCCCCCCCCTTCTTGAAATACGAGACCGTGAAAGGTTCATGCATGTTCAATGAACAAGTGCACGTCAGCGTGTGCATATAGGGCCTAGAAAGTTAATTAGTCCCCACTTTTATGAGTGTCCGACTCAATATCAAATGTGTCCGACTTACGAACGAATTTCGATGTTGGTGGTTCATCACATCTGAATGCTGTATAAGGTAAAATACCGAGGTAATCCAAGCAAAGAATAGTAGATCTTTGCGAGTTCTTTCGGACAAGACCAAATAACACAGGGTATACAGACGAATGTGGTCTGCATGCGTAAAGGAAAACGAGAGGTGTCCGACTCACGATCACTTTACCCTAATTCGGCAAGTAATGAACGTATCAAGCTAAATTTTTCAACACTTCTTGTTTTATGTTCCTTATAAATTTTGAAAGCACAGACTACATAGTACTAATTTTATCGCCTCATTCCACGAACTTTTTGATAACCCCTCGTACTTTTATATGTTTGAAAAGACCACTGTTTATAAATAGAATTGAATGGACATTATAGATTGTATATATTTCAGAAATGCAGAAAGTTCTTATGTTTGCCACGTCTGCTTCATATTTGGACGTTCTACTGACTATAGACGATAAAGACCAACTAACAACTAAATTGTCTGACAAACGGGATGACTTCAGCTTTTTCTATCGTCAGCTTTCCTTATTTATGAAGTAATATTCCGCTATCATTTGCATATAATGTTTACGTCTATGAACTTATTCGATACACTAGAGCACGATTAATTTTTTAAATCGAAGCAGGCTACTGACTGATACATGTAAGTTGATGTTACAGGGGTTTCAACAACCTCGTTTAAAATCAGCATATCGTAAACTCAATGGTCGTATCAATGACCCTGTCAACAAATTTAACCTATAATTGGGTCAAATGTTTGGTCCTTGTTTTTATATCAAATTCGACAACGGAATGTCCCGTTTACCTGATTTATTCAGGTGGGCGT